GCCGAGATGGGAGACTGAATGCTGAGGAGCAGAGCAGAGCCATGTTGTACGTAACTCAGGATTTTGCCAAGCCGGCTTGTGTCTGAGGAAGGGGAGAAAAGTATTCTCTTTCTTGCCTGGTTATCAGCAAGCCCCCGCCCCCCATTGTGGGTACATGCATTTTGACTGGTGGTTCCCAGACCTGTCAGACTGGATGCCCTGTTTAGAACATTTGTGACACCCCTTTCCTGCCCAGAAAATACAGCTCATAGATGATACACTTGCCCACACAGCTGGCTGTGAAGAAGAAGGTAGGATAGTGGCCTGAGAGAACAGTGGAGAAGCGTGTGTACTAAGACGGGATGTTCCAGCAGGCTGGTGCGTGGGACCCACCCCTGCCGAGGGCCGGCGCGGGGCTGCGCCGTGTGGGATGGCCTCCGGGCCTGGTTCTCTCCACGCAGCTTGGAGCCTCAGTTCAGGCCGTGTCACACTCCTAGAGAGTCCACCGTGTGTTAAAACTGCGCAGCTGTTTCTGTGGCTGTGTATAAAATACAGTTGATTCTAATCCCAGGTCGTCACAAATGGGGGTTTTGCCGACACGCATGTGCGGGGACATTCTTGGCCCCATGGGATGGATGTGTGTCCCCTGAGCACAGCAGGACGTCTGGCTTCTTCGACTCCAGCTGAGACTGGCAGCTGCCCGCCCCACCCGTCCACCTTCACTGGGACAACCGAATGTCACCCCTGCAGGTTTCCAGAACCGCCCCTCGTGAGAACTTGTCAGGCTTCCATGGGCTCCCGGGGTGACCTAGCCCTTTTAGTTACTGTTTCCACGGGTAGTGTTTCAGTGGGCCACAAGAACTGGCCCCAGCCACGTTTTTAGAATTACCGTTTCTAACTTAGGGGCTGCCTGCACTTTCAGTTAACGAAGGTGCCTCTTCTTGGGAGTTTGGAAATTAGAGATCGTCCGTGGAATTTTTGTCTCTGAAATCGGCACTTTACTGAAAGGTTTTAGAACTGTAAGGCAGTAACTAACTCAACGGTAAAATCTGTGGTTAGTCTTCACATCTGTGCTGAGTTGTTCCTCTTGGTGATGTGAATCCTCAGACTCATAATCCCTCCTTCCCTGGGGCCAGCGATGGCAGGGTGGCGATCTGAAGTGTCGTGGACGCTCCAGCTCCACATGAAGCGTGCTCTTCTGCAGCATGGCTCCCGACTGGGGACCCGTTGTTCCCCTGTGGAGCTGTTTGAGGTGCCCTGGTTGGAGTCCCTTCCCTGAGGCCCTGATGGGACAGGAAGGAGCAGGCCTATGTGTTTGTGGCCATCTCCCCGGAGATGGCAGCTGTGTTCCAGGCCTCCTGCACTCCGCGCCACCTGCTGCCAGCCGCGCCCAGAGCTGCTGCTGCAGCTGCAAGCTCCGTGCTTCCCTCATGTCTGCGCTCCCTCCCACCCTGGCCTGGGGCTCCCGGGGGAAGAGCGGCAGTCACGTGTGCTGTTCGCTCAGGTGAACGTGAAGGAGCTTGTGGGAGGAGACTCGTCACAGAGCCCCTGTCTACGCTCCCTGCGCCACGCTGGCATCTGTGTCTCGGTCACCTGGCACAGCCACGCCTGTTTCTCGGCTGGGAATGTTATTTTCTGGGGCAGCCTGTCAGCCTCAGTAGCAGCTGAGTTCTTTATCCCGGCCCCTTCCCGCTGCGCAGTGGGTTTCCTGATGGACTGATCTGGGAAGGGAGCAGTGGCTAAGTTACCTTCGCCGCTGGGCTGGTATTAGGTTTCCAGCACGGTTAACTGAACCCCTTAGGACCTGGATTCTCGCTTTTCCATGTGGAAAAGGGAAGCTTGCGGTTCGTCTCAGTGACTTTGTCTTAAGAGCCTTCCATTTTACAAACACATTTCAATTTTTCTCTGGTTCTCACAGGCCAGATTTTCATTGCACAATCAGTCTAAAAACCAGTGCAGTTTCCCAGGGCGTACACGGGCAGCTCCTCCGCGGCCCTGCCTCGCCTTCGCCTCTGCTCCTTTGAAACCACACACTCACTGTGGTGTGACATTCGTTCCCGGAACACACTGGCGGGTGACGGTCCTGTGTTGGCCGCCTTGACGTTATTTGGTGGCCACTGCCCAGCATGTAAATTGAAGGCCTGAGAGAAGGTGCGAGGGCTGATTGTGGACGGGCCTTTGGAGCCCAGTGTGGCTTAGCGTTGGAAGCCAGCTGCTGTTGGCCTCTGGTGTGCAGAGTCACACAGATGGCAGGCCTGGCCTGTCCCTCAGAGGCTGGCCCTGCCCCACCCTTCACATTTTCAGATGCCTCACCTGCTTTTTGGTAAACGTTTGAAGGCTAGATGGAGCAGACTTATGCTTTCTGATCAGTAACTTATTCTGATTCTGTCAAAGAAACTAAGACAGATATTAAGGGGTCTTTAAAATCTCGAAAGCCCTGGAAAGTGAGGGTGTTCAGAGGGGTCTGAGTGCTAGCCAGGTTCTGCAGCCCTTCTTCCCTTGTCCACAGCCTCTGCCCTTGTCCCAGCTGTGAGTCCCTTGCAGCTTTTTGTGCGGGGGGAGGGAGAGTGGTGCGTGGTGCTGGGGGTCCCGCCTCCCGAATGTGGCGGCTGTGTAGACAGCTGAGGTTGGGGCTGCCGTCCACACTGTGCAGCTACTAGTGTTGTTTTTGACGAAAATGGATTCTGTCTTCTCCCATCCATGGCGGCATGTCTCTTGGCCTCCACAGATGAACTCATCCTGTATCCTGCACTCGAGAACAGAATTTGCTGGAGCGCAGGCTCACTCAGCACCTGGAGCCTGAGGACTAAGTAGCACCTGGAGGTTAACGGCCTTGCTTCGGATTCTGAGAGAATGTGTGGGTGGTGGGAGCTGTTTGAGGCGCCGCAGTGGCATCTCTGTGCCCTGCGTTCAAGGCCTTGTGCTCAGGGCCCCGTAAAACTGCCACCAGAAGGTTTTCTTACATAGGACATGCTCTGGAGTTTGTTCTGCTGGCCCAAAGGGAAGAACGTCATTTGGTGGATGCTCGTTGAAGATCTCTCTCTTGCAGGTGGCCCCGACAACCAGGTCCACTTTGAGGGGTACCAGGTGTCCAATCAGTGCATGGCGCTGGTCCGGGATGAGTGCCTGCTGCCCTGCAAGGACGCCCCTGAGCTCGGCTACGCCAAGGAGTCCAGCAGCGAGCAGTACGTGCCTGACGTGTTCTACAAGGTAACAATGGGAGGGCTCCGAAAGCGCGAGCTGGATGGGGTGCGGTGTGGACACGACCTGTCCTGGACGCCGCTGACTTTGGTGCACTCTGGCCATGCAGGCCGTCTGTCAGCCGTGCTTGTCCAGAGCCCAGCTTGTGGGTAAAGGAAGCCACGCGTTTCCAGGGCTGCTCGTTAGCTGCTCAGGCATCATGGTGTTAGGGCCCGTAACCAAGAGACGGTACGTAGCACAGTCCAAACTCGGCAGCACAGACAGCGCCCGCCTCTGATGAGGAGAAACGGTGTCTGCGGGGCTGCGGCTGCAGGTGGGCACGCTGGGCTCCCTGGAGGGGACCCAGTTTAGGCTGACTGCTTAGACAGACAGTCGTCCGTGTCCTGTGGAAGCTGTAAGATGACTTGTGTTGGAGACTGGCATGGTGTGAGCATTCGGGAGTCAGGTGCTTCCCCGTGGCCCAGTGCGGCTTTTGTGCTCAGCTCGGGCCTGTCCTGGCCCACTCGGTTCCCATCCAGCCCTGCTCCTCCCGGAGGACTCATTTAATGTTTCCTGCAGTGTGGAGCTCCTCTGGTTCATCCAAAAAGTATCTTGTCTTCTTTTCTGAAGGATGTGTTCACTGTGCAGAGTTGCAGGGTGACCGGCCTGCTCCCCTCTTGCCTGCCTCCCAGTGGCCGGCGGGAAGTCAGCTGTCACCCTGCAAGTTCCTCTGTCCGTCATGACAGCGCCTCTCTACCGCTGGCCTCAGCACCCGGTTCTTGACCTGCCTGGTGCCCCGGGTTTGGGGCTTGCCGGGCTCCTTGGTCTGGGGGCTGGCGGGTCGTGTTTGGCTGTTGTGTGTGTTCCTGTTGCTGCCCTGACAAATGGCGCAGGTGCAGTGGCCGCAGGACGGCAGCCCTTTATTGCCTCACAGCTCCGTGGTCAGGAGTCTGGGCAGAGCTCAGCCACGCTCTCTGCTTGGGCCTCTCCGGGCTGCTGCGGTGGTGTCAGCTGGGCTTTGATCTCGTCAGAAGCGTGAGGTTCCAGGCCCCCAGGCCATCCCTGGCCTGGCATCTTCTCCCCGAACCTGTGTGAACACGTCTCTGGCTTCTGCTGCCACCGGCCTGAGCCTCATGAGGGCTTGTGTGGCCCCCCTCCCCCCCCCGTGGGCTCTTCTCCCTCATCCTCCTTCCTGGGTTGGTTTCCCCGAACCAGGTGTCGTGGGTTTACGTGCTGCTGCACGTGGTGGGCGGGAACCGTGCTCTTTCTGCCCCGGAGACTTACCACCTGCACTTACCTTGGGCGGCCCCAGACGCACCTCCCTGGCCGGCCGCGGGTGGAGTCTCGCTGCGCCAGACCTGCACCGACCTGACCCTGAGTGTGGTCAGCGCGCTCTGTCTTTGTTATGGGCCCTCCCTGCCTCCTGCGAAGGCCGGCTCACGTCCGTTCCCGTTCCTCCCTTTTCTGCCTCCCGACCCCGGACGTTGGTGACAGCTCTGCATGCGGCTCCGGCGGTTGCCTCTTCCGAGGAGGGTCCGTTTCCCTGGGTCAGCTTCCTGACTCGTCTTTGCGGTTTGGTGTCTTGAGTCATAAAGAAAGTCTGTTGTCTTATCGTCCATGAGGTTCATGGTTTTGTCTCGCATGTTGGGGTTCCTGGTCCACCTGGAATTGGCCTACGTGTGTGGTGTGAAGTAGGGGTCTGGTTTTTCTCGAGTTTTCAGCCGTGTGGATGATCGGCTGAGCACCACTTACTGCAACTGGCCCTCCTTGGCCTGCTGACCCGTGGCGCTCCTCTGTCGTCACTTGTGGCCGTGGTCACGGCTGTGTGTCTGTCCTCTCTTCCGGCCGCTGCCCGGGCTCCGCAGCCGCACCAGCGCCAGAGTGGCCACGTCCCTGCGACTGTCCCGCCCCCGCCCATCAGGGCCCCGCCTGCTTTCCTCAGGAGCCCCGCCCGCTCCAGCCCGAGGGCGGGCGTGGGCTGCCCGTATTTTCTGGTCTTTGACATTGCTCAGAAGGTTAGGGGGCTTCTCCTTGAAAGTTTTTCTGTCATTTGCTAGCTTGTTCTGAGGTACCTTATGCTTTCTGCGTATTACGAGAAGCATCTTTTTTAAATGACATTTTCAAACTGTTGGCTGCTGGAAACTGGTGAACGCTTGGCTTTACCGTTCGCTCCCCTGACTGTGGGCTCCTGGGTCTCTGCACAGACTGCCTGCTGTCCAGGAGCAGGAGCAGGGGCTCTGGCCCTGCCCCCCATTGGCTCCTTGTGCCAGCGGGGCTTCGGAACAGGGTCTGGTGGTTCATTGCAGAGGGTGCGCTGTGGGGATTTCATCATTGACTGTGTTTGTTGTGGGGCTTTTGTGTTTTGCGATACCTTTTATCAGGTGAGAAATTTGTGTTTTATTTCCATGTCTTTTAAGTTTCTTGCACTGAAGGAGAGCTGACTCCCGTCACAGAGTGTGTGCCATTTCCTTGATCTTGCTCCTGCTTCCTCAGTTTGCTTCCCTGCCCGTTAGTGAGAGCCGGCCAGCAGGGCTTCTGAGGATTGTTTGTAGCCCTGTAGGACCTGAGACACTCATCTCTCATGTGTTTCAGGAAAACATCAGTTTGAGCAAAGAGACCTATGAAACTAAACATTTAAGTAATCTTTGTAGTCCTCCTGTGGGCTTTGGGGTCGGGTTTAAAATGTGCCTCGTAAACAGGACGCGCACCCGTGTTGTCTAAGGCTGTTCATCGTGGTGTGATCCTTGGGAACAGAGACGCAGAGCGACCCGGCAGTCCAGGGACAGGGGCGTGAAGCTGCAACACATCTGTGCGGGGGGCGTTCTGTGATCTCTGAAGTTGTGGTGCGGAAATTATTTGAAGACATGAGATAAGACTCACTGTAAAGTTTTAAAATGTGCCTGTGCACGCAGCACACTCCCGCCTCTCCTTGTTCTTGAAGGGGCACGTGCACACGTGTGTGTGCATGCAGGGCGGGCCTGGGACACGCGAAGGTCCACTCTTGTCTGCAGCTCTGTCTGTGCTGGGGGAGCACCCACTGTGGAAGTGGGGCGAGGGGCACGTGCCGGCACCCTGACGCGGAGGAGGTGCCTGGCGGCTCTAGACGTGCTTGCTGTGGGTTGTTCCCTCAGGGCCTCGGTGCCTCGCAGGGCACCTGGGCCTCCAGGTGGTGGGAGTGAGGTCTTCTGCCTTTACTTCTTCCCACCTGCTCTGCGCCGGCCCCACCTCCAGTGTGGTCCTTCCGTGATGTGAGGCAGGAGCTCCTGGTGCTCACGGTAGCCGAAGGCAAGACGTGAGGAAGACCTGTTCAACGATAACTGATAACCCAGTAACCACTGCTGGCGGCTGACGTGGTTCCTTCACGTTTCCTCTTCTGCCAAGTACAGATGCAGGCTAAATGTGTCCACTCGCTGACTACATGGCTGGATCATGATGTGCTGAGTCTGGCTTCTGCTGGTGGTGTGGCGGTGAGGTTCGGGGCCTGGTGCCTGCGCCTCTGCCGCCGCCCTGACCGGGGAGCCACGTGGGCCCCGCAGGTGGGAGCTTGGAGGCTCAGTCTGCTCTCAGGAAGCCAAGCTTTTGGCTGAGGGTTAGGCAAGAAGCAGAGGTGCTGGAGGTTTTTGAGGCGAAGGTCTGGGTGAGGGGACGCCTGGGGCTGGGAGCCGGGCCTCACAGTGTGTGGTCCCCATTCAAAATCCCGTGTGCATCAGGAGCCGGTTTTCCAAACATTAATGCGCAGGCTTATTACTGTGACACCAAATGTCTGCTTATTTTGGCAAGTCAGGAATTCTAGGTTAATATGAAAAGGGGAACCCCAACACCCACCTTCACCTGCCCCCCTGCACACGGATGCCACTGGGTCTGCAGCCCCTGCACTCGGTCCAGACCTGGACGGGGTGCTGCTCCCGTCCTGTCCTCTCAGGCCGTCTGTCTAGGTATCACCGAAGAGGGTGAGTCAGCTGGGTGGGGAGGGAGCCGTCCAGGGGGCCACACGTCTGGAGGGCATGTCCAGGGGGCCCAGGCCCCGGCTAGCTCGAGTGCGCCTGTGATGGGGGTGGTAGGCGGTGGGGAGCCACAGAACAAAGGACAGAAGGTGGTTCTGGAATGTTCCTGCTGGATGTGGTGTGAAGGGCGGTCTGAGGCAGGAGGCTTTTGCAGCAACCTGAGTGTCAAAGGCCAGTGGCTGAGCCAGGAGGGGCAGCGGGTCTGCTGTCAGGCCCTGCAGGGCAGGATGGGGCTGAATGTGCCCACCCGCAGGCGCGGCTGCCCTGCAGGAGCAGAGGCGCGAGTTCTGATGCCGAGATCCTGAGTCGATGTGCACGGACTGGCTTTGGGCTGTTGGATCTCGGGCAGGGCGACCCCTTGTAGCCCTCTGTGTCCTCCTCGTGTGATGGGGACCCCGTGGCCTTGTGTGCAAGGGGTCCGGCCTGGCCCAGGCTCTGCGCGGGCCTGAGATGTGTCAGCTGCGGGTGCCCATGGGCGCCCGCCGACCCCGCTGTTTCCCACACGGGGACTCTCTTGTGCCGAGCCGTCTCCCATCAGGCTGCTGGTTTCCCTTGTCGCCTTCTTGCCCTCTCTTTAAGGAGAACAGCGGTACAGGAGGGTCTCGTTTGCCTTTTCCAAACAAGTGGCGCCAACCGGTCAGTGCAGTTTGCTGCTGTCCTGGCATAGAGCCCACTTGCCAGTGAGCGCCAGAGATGGATGGACGTTTCCAGACGTGGCTGATAGCGGGTTGCGAGGCCTTGGGGACCTTGAGTCCTGACTCCCAATGTCTTACTCCAGGTGGAGAGAAAACTGCGGATGCTTGGTGGCTGCCAAACATAGGACTACGGCGCCTTCTCCTCGTGGGTTCTGCCTGACATTTGCTCAGCCCGTAAAAAGTCATTGCCTTTAAGTGGTGTATCGGGTAGAGGCTGGCTGGCAGGAGCATTTGAGTGAAGGCCTGGGGAGAGAGAGAAGTCATCTGCTTGCTCCCCAGGGAAGAGCTGGGAACCAACACCTTTATTATCTTGGGGAGCAGAAGGGTACGGTGGGGTAGTTAAATTTGAAAGAGAATAGCACGACACACACAAAAGAGAGAGGGGGGCTTTTAACCAGAAACCTCCCTAGAGGCGAAGATTAAAGCGAACAGGTGCTGGGAAGTGTCTCTGCATATTAGAGCCTAATTAGAGCTGAAGAGGAATTCCAGACGGGCTCATCACGCGCGAGTTGCTGCAGGGTGTTTCTTGTAGGGCAAGCGTGTATTTTTGGAAATGGTGATTTAGTTTGATTAGATTTGATACTCCCACCGTATCTCCTCTGTGGCCCCAGGACCCGCTGAGTGGGCCTCACATCTTGGGCTGCCGCTGTCAAGCTGGTGGGGCCACAGAGCCGGGCCCAGCTCCCCTGCGGTGGAGACGAGCAGGTGAGGGACGAGGGACCCACTTCAGAGCGGAGCGTTGTTTCCAGGGGCGTGTCCTTGGGTGGGCTTGTGCTCCATGTGTGGCGGCTTCACGTGTGTGACCGTTTTCTGAGCGGCAGAGGGGTGGGTTCTTGCTAGTGGCCCTCTGGGTTGTGAACAGAGAAGAGGTAGGGAAGGTGTGAGTTATCGGAGGTGCGCTGCAGACCAGAGAGTTTACTTTCCGAACTAAAGGAGCAGGGCCTCGTGGGGCCCTGGGCGTCCCGTTAGGATCACGGTCTCGGCTCAGCCTGTGAAGGTTTCCCAAAAAGACAGCGCAGCCTCTGTCATCTCCGGAGGGTGCCCTGTGCGGGGGTGGCCTTGCATCACCCTGCGTGCCTTGGGGGAATCTGCTTGGCCTCCATTAGGGCCTGAGAGCTTTTAATAAACCTGAACTTTTATGTAAGGCCCCGTAATTGGACATTATGGATGTATAATTTATATGACTCAGTGAATGGTTTATATAACGTTAAGTGATGATTTAGATAGAAAATATGACCCCCTTTTGCAGAATCTTTAAAGAAGAGCGTTGGTTCTTAATTTATTTCTAGAGCTCTGTTCGAACTCAGCATGCTTGACATAAATCAGATCTAACTGTCATTTTATGATTAATGAACATGTGTTGGCCGTTTTCCCCGTAATTAAACTGCATGTTCGTGCATCTGACAAAGCAAAGCAAGTTCCGACTTCGACGGGTTGGCGGTGGGGGTTTCCGTGAGTGTGTGTACGTGTACGCACGTACTCATTTGTTTGTGTGTTTATTTTACTAATGGACAAGGATTAAGTTTCCACAAAGTTGAGTTTTCAGACGTGTGAGTGAGGCTCTTCCAAGTCAAGATTCAGATATGAGGCCGAGAGAGCGTGTAGAGGAGGATGGGGCACAGGTGGGTGCCAGGGCGCAGGGGCCCTGGGTCTGTCTCCCACACAGCTTCAGTGCCGGGCGGGGCAGAGGGCAGGGCAGAGGGCAGGGCAGTAGGGGAGGCCTGCCAGGGGTGCCAGAGGGTGGAGTCACTCTCCTCTCTGCCTTTCATGCGCCTCAGCAGGAGTTGTAGTTCGGGGGTGACGTGAGCATGTGAAAGGAGACCTGTCACTGCTCAGCTCCCCTGAACTCACGCCCTGGACCACTGTCTCCTGTTTCAGGACGTCGACAAGTTTGGCAATGAGATCACCCAGCTGGCCCGGCCCCTGCCCGTGGAGTACCTGATCATCGACGTAAGTGTGCGTCCCGGGCCGCTGAGCTCAGGACGCCGGGGCCTCCGGCACCCGGAGGTGTTTAAATCACCAGGCTCCTGGCATCCCTGAAAAGCTCAGAATTTTAAGGGCTCTTTCTTTGGTTTTTTATTTCCTTAAAAACAACTGGAAGCACAGCAGAGGCCCACCGCCTGGGCCAGGCAGCCTCTGGGGGTCAGCGAGCCTCTCCCTGGCTCCAGGTGCGGGAGCTGCCACAGCTGGGCTCCTGGGCCACTCTGAGTCACTCCCCAGGGATGGGGCCGTGACTCTGTTCTTGAGAGAGGGCTTAGGGTAGCTCTCCAGGAGCCGGGAAGGAACCTGGGACTGACAGACACACCTTCCCCAAGTCTCAGCTCCTCCCAAGAGTGGGCCCTGCTCCCGGAGGTGTGGCCGCAGCGCAGGGGCAGGGAGGGCCAAGGGCCGAGAGCGGCATATGTGTGCAGCAGTCAGGGCTCTGTCCGGAGGGCACGGGGGGGCTCGTTTCCTAACTGCTGCCTGCCAGGATGAATTCGGGCTGCACTCGGGGTGGGCATGTGGTTCAGGCTGTAAAATGTGACTGCACTTGGAGTAGTGGGTCCCCGTGAGCCGAGCCCGTCGATGCTGCATTCCGGCTGACAGCTCCCAAGAATGTCTCTGTTACCTCGGCCTTAAAGGCATCTGGTTTTAGACCCCCTAGGGTGTCATTAAGATGAGAACAGATTGATGGCACATGCACTTACGAGGGTCTGCGTGACTGAAAGCCAGCTTCCCAGGTCTTCTCTCCCAGTGGCCTCCCTGCCATTCCCTCCGCGCAGGAGCTCCCATCTCACCTGCGGGCTTGCCTCGGTAGCGTTTGGTTGATGAGGGCACACCCTGTGCTTTGGTACCCACGTGCTGTCTTCCTGCAGAAGGAGGTTGGAGCTGGTGCCCAGACGGGTGTGCTCAGCTCCTTGTCTGGCCCTGGACCCTGCCTGACCAGCAGGTCTGATGATGTCACATCTGTGACCGGCTGCTTGTTGCGGCTTCTGTGGTGGGCTCTGCAGGTGGCCAGGCGTCAGCTATTGACCAGATGGACTGGGCTGGGAGAGGGTTTGAGCACAAGACAGGGCGCCCGACGCCCTGCGTCCTGTCCCCCGAGCGTCTGGGGTGTTCACAGACTGCCCTCTGAACTTTAGTCCTGTCGCTCTCCAAGGGGCGGTCGCAGGTCTGCAGGTGCTTCCCTTAAGTCCGTGTTTGCTTACTAGTGGGTATCCCGTTGCTGGCAGTCCGCGGAGCTCTGCCTCTGCAGCACAGATGGCCCCTCTGCCACCCTGAGAATCCTGACAGCCGCTGGGCCTGCGCCCCACATGTGCCGCCCTTTCCGAGGGCCCGACGTGTGTGAATGCAAGGCTGCCCTCACGGCAGCCTCAGGAGGCACAGGTGCTCCGTCATCCCACCTGTCAGATGAGCAGAGCGAGGCCTCGGGCCGAAGCCATGGAGGCCGCACAGTGGGACGTGGTCCCACGCTCCAGTCCACGTCCTGTGGCCCGCGACTGCATAGTCTCCCCAGTAACAGCCCGGCGGGGCCCAGCGCGCCGTTCGCAGCCCTGGCCCAGTCACAGCGGGTTCCGGGCCAGCCAGCTGGCACAGCTCCTGCCTTCCCTGACGCAGAAAACAGACCAGAGCGACATTTCCATTCCTTAGAAATAGTCCCAAAGGGACCAGAATAGCTGCCCTAAGTCTGGGTGAGGTGAATTGCTGCCGCTAGTGTCACATTGCAGAGGAGACATTGCGTCAGCTGAAAGGTGGTTGGTAGCTCACATTTGGGTGCTTTTGTGAGGAGGGGCACCTGCCAGGGGGAAGGGAAATGGTGTTCGTACTGGTTCTTGCACACCTGCCGCTGTCCGGCAGCTCCCATCGGCTGTCGTTGGGTTCAGAATGCCCTGTCACTACTGAAGCACGTCTGAGCCGGGGGAAGGGCTGAGGCTCCCCTTCGGACTTGATTGAGCTCTTGATTCAGTCGCTTCTGCAGCCCCTGGCGTCCCCCCCGCCCAGATGCGCCTGCTCTGCGCGTGCATGGTGCCTGGGAGCCCAGAGGGGCCTCAGCCCACTGGAGGGCTGGGCTGCACGTGCCCCCCAGCCACGCCCTGAGACGGCGCTGGTGCCCCCCGCTCCGCTCCCGCGGCCCCTCTCCAGCTCACCTTGGGCAGAGGGAGGGCAGCTGTGTGCGCGGCTGTCTGGGGGCTGGATTTAGGACACTGCCCACCGGCACCGAGATCTCGACCGATATTAAGGATGATACTTTAGTTTGTGTCCCGGAGTCAGGGTTTCAGAGTTCTCATCTCGGGGCTGTGCTGGTGGACGTGCGGTCCCTCAGCGGGAGCCGGTGCTGCGAGTAGCTCGGGGCTCTGGGCGGGGTGTGCTCAGCCCACACCCTCTTTACAGCACAAGTGATTTACCGTGGGTTTGTGTTTCTGTCCATTAGATCACAACAACTTTCCCCAAGGATCCTGTTTATACTTTTTCTATTTCACAAAATCCATTTCCTATTGAAAACCGGGATGTGTTGGGTGAGACACAGGTAAGCTTTTTATCTTTAGAAACATAACTTAAAGTAACTACTGCTTGTTTGTCTAGTGACACTGTTGTTTTCCAGAAAGTCCCAAGGTTTCTGACTCTCCTGATGTGTCCTTGTGACAGAGCCTGGCTGGGCCTTTGTCTGAGACGCTGTTGATCACACGAGCCCCTCTGGGGCGAGGTGGTGCAGGCCGCGGGAGGTGAATCCCCTTAAGTCAGGCCTGGGGCCAGGAGGACCGTTCTCAGGGGCCTGCTTCCCTGAGCATCTTGTGTCCTCTGACAGCTGTGTCGCTGCTCAGTGGTAACGGATGGCCCGGTCTCTGAGGCCGCGTGCTCTGCCCTGCCTCTTCACCCCGCCATGTTTCTCCCACCATCGAGCTGCAGGGCCTCAGGCGGCCTGGCCACCTGGGCGCTGGGGCACGCAGCGCTGACCTGCTCCCACCTGCACGCCAGGCCAGGTCAGGGCTGCTGGGACTGCCTTGTGGTGCCACAGCCTGAGCTGTTAACGGGCATCGCAGAGAGGGGCCTGGTGGGAGGACGCGCAGTGAGGTTTCCTTCTGAAGCGGCAGTTAGTCTACGGAAGCTCTCTGGTTTCCTCGCTGCCCCTCCGCCAGGTGCTCGTAGGGGTGCGGAGGCTCTTCCTGGGGGAGGGTCTCAAGTCGCTTGTTTCGGTCCTGCAGAAAGTGCTAGTATCACACACCCCAGCCTGCCCCTCAGTGCAGCACAGCTAGTCAGCAGCAGCGTCTGGACAGCCGGGTCTGTCCCCGCCCCCAGGCGCCCTCCCCACGCCCTCCCCCACCTGGAGGGAAGTCGGGACGTGTCTCACAGCCAAGCCAGCTTTATGAACATGCGTGTCTTCCATAAGTCAGGTGCGCGGAGAGCGTTTTCCTGGGAGATGAGGGCGGATTCTGTAGCTCTGGGCTCCTCTGTCTCAGGGTCCCGGCCAGTGGTTCTAGAAGCAGAGGGCAAGGCGGCCATCAGCACTGAACGTGGTCGGTCTCGTCTTCGTAGGACATGGCTCTCCCTCGGGTCTGGCTCTGGGGACTGTCATGGAGCGTTTATGTCTTTCTCCTCCCTCGCCCACCGCTCCAGGACTTCCACAGTCTGGCTACCTACCTGTCCCAGAACACCTCATCTGTGTTCCTGGATACCATCTCGGATTTCCACCTCCTGCTGTTTCTGGTCACCAACGAAGTCATGCCTCTGCAGGTGCGGGCCAGGGTGGGAGCATGGCTGGAAAGCCGGGTCGAGGTCCCCCTTATTAATCTGTCCCCTGGGCAGCAGCTTTGCACAAGGGCCTTGACAGAAAGGTGAATTTTTCACACTTAGCATTTGCACTGAGACAGCTTCTTGGAAGGTGCATGATGAGGCCGGTTCCTCTGTTAGAATCGTGTGGAATGCAGAGGCCGCTTAGCTCTGTTTCCTTCTAGTGTGGAACGTTAGGGATCCAACAATTTAAAAAATTCCTGTCCGAGCAGTTTCAGAATTACAGCCTCTGCTTCATCCTGATATCTCCCCTCCTCCCAAATCAACTCCGGTTTATTGCCTTGGCCCAGAATGTTGGCCAGCGTCCAGGCCCCGGTGCACAGCTTGCACAGCTAGCGTTTTTAAGACTCTCTGTGGTTGGGGGGAGGACGGGTCTCGGATGGCGGCTGCCCCCTGAGCAGCACAAGGGCAGCGGGTCCAGCCAGGAGGCCCCGTGCGTGGGCTGTGTCGTGGATGTCCCGTGGATGTTTCCTGAGGTCACAGCGTGGAAAGGAGAGCCCCCACCACTGCTTCTCCATATCAGGTGGTTCTGTAGCTGCTCTTGTGTCCTGCTGGGCTTGTCTTGTGTCTGTGGTTTGTCCCAAAACTGCCCACTTATGGTATTTGACACCAGGCACCCTGAGTCTTGCCGCTGGCTTTGCCTTCCCTGTTAGGCCCAGAGAGTTGCACCTCCGCCTGGGTTCGAGTGCTGGCTGGTGGGCCAGTGGTGGAAGCGTAGGGCCTCCTCACTGAGCGTGTGCTGTTTCACTTGTTCGGAGGCCTTTTCTGTGGGTGTCGTCTGAGTGTCCCTGGAAGGCTTTCTGCATCTCCATCGTGTGAACTGTTTGGTTCTCTGCACGTGGACCCAGGAGGCCTAGGATGCGGAGAAGACAGGGAGCCCAAGGGGAGCCTGAGGGATGAAGGTGGACTGCGTGGCCAGGGCCCCTGTCAGCCATCCAGGCCCTCGGGAGGGGGCCTTGGGCCCAGACGCCCCGGGTGACAGTGCTCTTTACAGACCTAAGTGACCACAGTGATAGTCTGGGGTTTTTGAAATTTTCTCTGAATTGTGTCTTGATGTTGGGGGAGGAGAAACTGTGAGCAAGTCTGTTTACTGTCAGTGAAGCGAGTTGAACTTCCTTTTTTGGCTTCTTGTAGGACAGCATCAGCCTGCTGCTGGAGGCCGTGAGGACCCGGAACGAGGAGCTGGCCCAGACGTGGAAGAAGTCTGAGCAGTGGGCCACCATCGAGCAGCTCTGCAGTGAGTGTCCTCCGCCGGGGCCCGGGTCGCGCGCGGCCCGCTCCGCTTGCACAGCAGCTGTGCCGTTCTTTGGGCATCTTGGGGGCAGTCTGGAAGTCAGCGTTTTAGAGAAACGGGAGCTTGAGGTCCACACACGTGTTGCTTGCGGGCTGTTCTGCCCCCTCTCCCTCTCCATCCTCGGCTTTCTGGATGGATGAGGAGGAGCAGAGTTAGGGAGTGTGGGCTCTTGTGTCTCCAGGCCCTGCGCCTCCGTGCCGCCCAGCGAGAGCTCGCCCGTCAGCCTGGGGGTGTCCCTCGCTGCCTGCACCGGGGCTGCTGACCCCCCACCCCCGGCTCAAGAGGGCAGGCGGCCGTGGTGGCCCTTCCCTGTGGCTTTGAGAAATACTGGCACACCCCCTAAGGCAGCCCTGAAAATACACACAGAGAAGTGTTCTGGCCATTTTCTCAATCAAGGGGGAAGATACTTGAGCCAAAATCAGGAAACCTGATGGAATCCAGGCCACAAGGGAGCCCAGTAGGCTCTCTCTTGACACGAAGTACCTGGGAGCTGAGTGGTCGGGCGCCGGGCAGTCATCCTGCTGCTCCCCCTCTTCAGTTTTCCTTTGCACAGTTCTGATGGCCACACTGGGAATGTGGCTGGACGTGCCGCGTGGTCTTCCTGCTCCACGTTCTGAAACAGAGGACACTCTGTTCCCACCAAAAGCCTTACAGTGAAGCCCATGGCCTTGTGTCCTCCCGTGGACAGTGGTGCGGTGCCGCCAGCAGTCAGCACCTGGTGCAGCTCTCACACCCCCAGCACAGCAGCCCTCCGGCTCAGGTGCTTCCCACGGAAACGCTGCTGGCAGCAGTTTGGAGCCCTGTCTGAGCCCAGAGAGTGTGCACAGGGAGGCTGGGAGGTCGTCCTGGACAGACATGGGCCCTTCGGGGGACAGGAAAACCAGATCAGAGGAAGTTTCAGTCTGAGCATTTGGCTCACTTCTGCCATCCCCACTAGACATGAGGGAAGAGCCAGTGACCTGCAGGAGCTCGTGCACAGACGGAGTGAGAAGGAACCCAGCCCGTGGCAGGCATCAGTCCCACGGCAGCAGGGCGACATGGTCTGGGCCCACTGCCTGCAGCCCCTACGGGAGAGGTCCCGGTGGTCCCTGACGCTGCTGAGAGGGGCTGCACGATCATCAGATGTGCTGCGGTTGGTGACACAAGTCAGCGGTAGTGCCACACGCAGAGCATTGCGGAGCATGAGTGACCTCAGTACAGGAAACAAAAGTCACCGGAAAGCTCTTTGTGGGAGGCCAACACTGCAAAGGAAGAGCTAGCAAATGGGAGAGAAATAGCATCATCCTCGGTCGGAAGACAGTACAGTTCTAAGATGTCAGCTTCCCCCAAATTGATCGGTACAATCAAAAGCCCCATAGGCTTTTTTTTGTGCAGGGGGAGGGAGGGTAAAAAAAGCTGTAAAATTTGCCCAGGAACGCAGAGGGCCCAGAAGGCAGCGTGAGGCGAGAACAAGCCAGAGGATGCGGTAGTGCGTGTGCCCGACGTGTAAGCTGCCGTGAGCAGGCGGCGCTGTCAGCAGGAGGACGTTAGACCCCCGGGCCAGGTGGGGGCTGAGCAGTGACCGGAGGAGGCATCCTTTTCAGAAAAGTGCAAGGAAACCGCTGGGGATCTGTGTGGGTAGAATGAACCTCAACTTCTATAATACACACCCACGTCAAAAGCGACTCCGGATGGGTCAGAGACCTCGCGGTAAAAGCTGCAACTGTAAAGTGAAACTCACGTGAAAAAACAGAGTTAAATCTATTCAAGACCTTGGGGTAGGACAGAGAAGAACACTGACCGGAAAACACTGTTCAGCTGGACTTGATCAGAATGAAACACTTGTGCTCACCCAGGGATGCTGTCAGCACATGAGAAGGTACTTGCCACCCCTTCTGTGACGTGGGACCCACATCTGACAGACACAGCGATCCCAGCACGTCGATGATCAGAACCAAGGGCATGAGTGAAAACTGGGCAAATGGCTTAGACATTCCCCACAGAGAGATACAGGACGGTCACCACCAGTTGTCAGAAAAATGGAAATTAAAGGAGATACCATAACATTGTGAGTGTGAAATGAAATGAAAATCCAACCTCACAGAGCGACTGGAACCTCACACACGCTGGTGAGAAGGGAGGCCATCTGGCCGTTTCTCAGCCGTTCACTTACCCTAGAACCCAGCAAGCATGCACCTACGTTTTACCCAAGAGACAAGGAAACACGGATCCACACAGCCATTGGTGCAAGAATATTCATGGCACCTGTGTTGAGAGTCGCTCAGAACTGGAGGGGGAGGGGGGCCGCGGTGCAGCTCACAGGAGCACTGCCGCCCACCAGCACAAAGGGGACCCTGACAGGCGGGCCCGGGCCCGGCAGGCGGACTGGTGGCCACAGGCGATGGCTCCCAGCTCTGCAGATGTGTCTGTCTGTCGGGGTTGTGTGTGTGAGCGGGGGGCCAGCGGCGGGGGTCTGGCGCCGCACCTGCTGCTTCCACCCCGGGGCGGGCAGCTTCGCTGTGCAGAAATGACACTGCTGCTCTCTTCCCGGCCCACAGGCACTGTCGGCGTGCAGCTTCCCGGCCTCCAGGAGTACGGCGCCGTTGGGGGCTCCGTGCACGCCGCCTCGGCCGCCGTGTGGGCCTGCCAGCACTGCACCTTCATGAACCAGCCGGGCACCGGCCACTGCGAGATGTGCAGCCTCCCCCGGACCTAGGGCTCCGCCCCCTGCTGGCGGGACTGGGCCCACCCCAGCCCTCTCTGAAGCCAGGATTGTAACCGTGCCCCACACCGGCAGCCATGCAGGTGGGGCGGGGGGCAGCTGCCCTGGGGTCTCTGGCCCACGAAGCTTCTCGGCACCAGACTTCCCTGGAGGGAGGGAGCCAGACTGGTGCTGTGCAGGCTGCAACCGGTCTCCTGGTGGGGGCACGGCCCTGCCCTGCGCAGATGCAGCGCAGCAGCCCCCTGCTGCGGTCGAAGGACCAGGTGCCTCTCAGTCACCACCTGGAATCCGGGGGCGGGAGGGCTTTTGCCGCCATCCAGCTTTCTCTCCTTTTTGGATGCTTTTTGTTCCTGCCCCTCCCATGTTTTCGGTTGGGAGCTCTTGGTGGCCTCTACCCTGTTGCTCTGGGGCAGACCTGTCCCCTCCCAGTAGCCATCGTCTGCCGGAAACGCGTGGCCACGGGCTCGCTGGCTTCCCGTCCGCTTGGTCTGCAGGCGAACCTGCTGCCCACCCTTCTCTGCTCTTACCCAGCGTCCAGGGGGATTTTAATGTCTGCATTGGTTGTAGTAACAGTTAGCGGCAATTCCTGCCCAGAAGACTTTTATTTATTTTTTTTTCAGATAAAAACTACATCAAAAGGGCGTGAGAGAGACTAGTTTCCACTTCCTTCCCTCCAGTGAGGCCCTGCAAGTGTGTGCAGGGTGGGTGAGTGTGGACGGGGACCCATAGTCAGTCTCCTCGGAAGTAAACCTCAGTGCCTGAGACCTTTCCACCAAGCCGCACAGCTGGGACAGCTGTGGACACAGGTGGTCCGAGCAGGAGCCTCGTGGTGGCTCCCACCAAGGAGGCAGCCCCTCCGGGCAGCCGATGCTGCTGACCAGGCCTGCGTGGGGTGAACCGGACAGCCCAGGCAGGACCAGACGCTCCAGTCCCCTCTGCCCCATTCCTTCCTGTTGCCCGGCCCCGGCCCCGGCCCAGGCCTCTGGCTCAGTGACATGGTCACGAGACAGGCCAGGTGAGGGAGCAGGCGCTTGGCCTGTTCTGAGGGCCGAGTGGGGCTGCTGTGGGGATCTGTAAAGGTTGACACCGGGCTGAGGTGTGGGCCCAGGCCAACCCTGGACAGAGGCTGTGGTCAGACCTTGCACGTGCCCTGGGGTCCCGGCGTTTCCCTCTGGCCGGCTACAGTCTGGCCCTTCCCCAGGGATTTTGTGGACATCTGATGCCTCTTTGCCTTAACAAGAGCTGTATCTCTGAGCTGCATTGCATCCACCTGCAGGAGAGGCCAGCCCAGACACAGACTGCTTGGGGCCTGTATGTCTCTATCCTAGGGGCAGGAAGCAAGCCTGTGTGACCCTTCCTTACCTGCGAGCAGAGAACACCTGGGGGTGGCGTTCATCTGTGGCCAGGGCCAGCCTGGCACCTCCAGGTCCACTGGCGTGGGACACCAAGTGGCCGATGGGGTTGCATCTGGCTACGGTGGAGCTGTCTGTTCTGGGGGCAGGAGGGTGCGGAGCAGCCAGTCTGAAGCATTGGCTCCCCAGCTCACCTGCCGAGGAGCTGGGAAGACGGTCTGGTCGTGTTCCTGGCAGCTGCGCTGGCTGGAGCTCTGGCCCCGCGTCGTCTGCACCTGTGTTCAGATGTGAGGCTGCAGGGGATCCTGGGGAGCCGACCTCGGACTCCATGGCCCCCCGATTCTGTCCTCACTCCCGTCTTCATCCACCGAGCTAGTTTCCTTTTCTCCAACCGTATTCTGCTCACTCTGGAGTTCTGGCATCTGCATAGTTTGTTTTCTTTTGTCTTTTAGCTAAACAAAAAGTGTTGTGATTTCTCTGCTTCTGGTTTTGAGTCACTCTTTGTTCAGTATTGCACTTTATTTTATTGTCCAAAGAGAGTCGGAGCTCAGCAGAAGTGGGGGGCCTTGCCAGCTGCCTCAGGCACAGGGGAGAGGCCCCCAGCGCCACCTGCATCCTGCCAGCCCGAGGAGCACTGTAACCCAGTGAGGGTGACTAGGATCCCGGCCTGCGCCCACCAGGCTTCTGGTGCTCCCGCTTGGGGCTTCCAGGTGTGGCTGTGGGGGTTGCAGCAGCATCGCCTGGACCCCAGCCCTCAGGTGGAACCAATAAAAGCGCCTGAAGCGCTGCCAGCTCCCTGTTTGTCCTTCCTGCACCCGAGACCGCTCCCTGCCCGGAGCCTTGCTGCGCCTACTTTGCCCGGTGACTTGACGACGCCCTCCACATGGCGCTGTCCTCCGCTGACATGCGTGGATTGTTGGAGGGTAGAGACCCCACGCCTCTGCCCAGGCTCCTCGGCCCTGGGCCCCAGGGGGACGTCCACGGCGAGAGCAGAGCCCGGTTCCTCTGGGCCCCTTCTGCCCCTTTCTCACCTGTCAGCCAGGTTGCTGCTCCCGGCCTCTGCCAGGTGGGTCAGGTCCGCTCGGCCAGGAAGGATGAGGCCCGGAAGCCCTCGGGTTGCACAGGTGCGGAGGCGGGGTGGGAGCAGTGGAGCCATAAGTACTGGTCATGTGACAGCCAGGAGGCGTCCCTCTGGTGTCAAGGGGTCAGCTTTCACACCCACCTTTCAGCCCACTCTGTCCTCTGGCCCCTGACTCGTTCTTCGATCAAGTACATAGCAGCGCCTGCTGATGTCCACGGGGCCCTGGGGTGAGGCAGGCCTGGCCTAGCTTCTGGATGAGGGTGGGCAGGCCCTCAGCGGCCAGCTCCAGTCCTGTCCCTGAGCTGGCCTGCGTTTACCAGCAGTACCCTGCCCTCTGTGGCTCAGGCTGCTGACTTGCTGGTTCTGTGAAGTGATGAGGTTCTGGAACAGCCCCCACCAAATCAAACAAATGGAATATGCTGCTTGGAAACAACTCGGGGTTCTGCCACCCCCTTTCCTGGCACACTGAACATGTTGGTGGGCCTTGCTACCTGCAAAGCACATGACAGTCTGTGGCTTCCCTACATGAGCTGTGTCCTGTCCCCCCCACACCTGCCCCATGCACTCTCGTGGTAATTTGTCCTTGGGAAGATGACAGCCTCCACGTGTGGCGTGGAGACCACAGATTATCAGCACCATGCTCTGCTGTCTCGCAGGCCTCCACCAACACAAGGGGTCCCGTCATTCCATTTCACCCCTGAACCGTCTAAGCCCTTTGCTCATGTCTGTAATCTCCAGGGCCTCCTCACTGTTTAGATGGACTGTTGATGGTCACAACTTCCTGTATCACTGAGTGTGGGACTTGCCTGGGCTTGGGGCCAGGAGCCTGTGAGTCCGTCTGAGCAGAAGGGAGTGGACAGAGGAGTGACCAATGTAACAGTGCCTGGCCAGTCAGGGCTGAACCTGGGAGGTGAGGCCTGCCCAGTTCAGCCCACCTCCTCCCAGCTCCCTTCCCCACGTGGTCATTTCCTCCAGGACATTTCCGGTGTAGTTCTGTTGGTGTCAGAAAACAGTCTGGCAGGACCTGATGGGAATCAGTGTGGGTGTGTGTCCCACGAGGACCGGTGGTCAGAAGGCCAGCCGAGAACACCCGTGCCCTCGGGGACTTTGGAGGGGTGTCTCGACAGGAGAGTGTCCTCACTCCCGACTGATTCCAAAGGCCAAGTGGAAGCTGGTCTCAGGGCAAAGGACAGACTGCAAATGCCGCACTCGTTCCGGTCCAACCCAGAAACACTGGGACAGTGGCTGTCCCTTGCCCTGGGGTTGAGTGCCCACCTCACCTTCAACCACTGTGCTAGTGGTTGCGTTTTGGAAGGTACACCAACCTTGGTGAGGTGAGCTTAACACCCAAGCCCAGAAAACACTTGGCAGCAGGGCCCCTTCAACTTGTCTGTCCAGCCACGACCTCCAGAGGCCGCTTCTGTTCACAGGTGTCTGGCCTTGGCGATTTTCTCATTGGTGTCTTACAGGAGAGGGACGTAACAGACCAGCCTGCAGGCCCCTTTCAGGGGTCTCGGAGTCTCTCGTCCGGAGAGCTCTTGGCCCCCCTCTGGTCAGCACCAGTCTCCAGAGCCTTGGAGGGCAGGGATGGAAGCAGCCAAGATGAGGGAGCAGAGGCATCCTGGCCTGGCTTCACCCTGACCCCCAGGCTAACTGCTGGTGAGCTGGCCCCCTTCCTGAGGCCCAGCCAGTCATTTTCTTTGTGGTCCTCTGCCCTCAACCCAGAATTCCTCTTGCTGACTCTGTCCCCATTGTCCAGTCAAACCAGCACACTCACGGACAGCTGGTGTTCAGGCATAAAGGGAGGGACACACCTGTCCGCGTTAGGCTCAAACACTGCATGTCCTGGCGACGGTGTAGGCGTGGGGTGGCCCAGCAGCGCAGAGGAAGGAGACCCGCCTCTAGGCCGAGAGCCCCTCGGCCGTGGAAATGGCCAGACCAGACACTGCCCGCCCCGCTCCCGGACTTCGCGGGTCCAGCCCCTCCCCCAAGCCCTTAGCAAGTCGCTTCAGGAGCGGGCCGCTCGCTAGGAGGAGATGCGCTCTGACGGGCCCCCGCCCGGGGGGAGCCCGGGTACTGGCTCGGGTCCCAGACCGGCCCGACCCTGGGGCGCGC